TAATAGGAACTGTTCAATTTGGTCAATGACGTGAGTTTTATATGATTGGGCGGATGATTCCCCTTTTGTATGCAAATGAAGACTTGGTATGAGAAAATTAGATAATAAAAAGGGAGATAAATGGTTGCTGAAATTGGGCTCTTTTGTGTATTGACAGGCAGCAAATTTGGCGCCCTTACGATCACATTAAATTTTGCTTCAACTGTTCAATTTCCAAAGGCACCGTGAGACAGCTGGCTTTCTCCATATTAGTATTATTTTGTTGTTGTTGTTGTTGTTGTTGTTGTTGTTGAGATGAACAGGCTGAGAAGGAGTTTTTGATTCTGCTGGGCCTGAAAGACTTCTATTCATTGTTTTATCTATAGCCTAGAAATGTGCATCATGTCATAATAATTATAATTTGGTGGGTGCTTATATTTGTCCTATTTCACACATATACAACTGTGTATTATTAATATTCATGTGTGAATTAGAAAGTTTTTTCTTTCATCATATCCCAATTCTCCCTGAGACACCCTCAGAGAGTGGGGTCACAGGCAGGGTATGGGAGACTCGCCTAGTGCAGTGCAGTTTTCAGTGGCCTAGTGGGGGATTCAAAAGTAATAGAATAGAGACACCATGGAATGAATACAAATACTCTCTCCAACACATCTACATAGGCTATGCATCACATTTTGTTACATCAGCAAGTTATTTTATCCAATGTATCAGAGAGCTCAGCTCACACATACTGCAGCATGAACACATCTCCTCCCTCCCTCCTCTCTGAGAGAGATGATGATGATGCCCCTAAATACTGATCCAAGGTCGAGTTACCATGTAGTGATCAGTGAGCAGAGACCAGCTCTGATAGTTTATCTTTGATGTAGTGACCATAGTTGAATGACAAAACTTTCACCATCATCAGCATTAGAGCACTTTAAAGCAGACATGCCCTGCATGGAAACAGGCAGGAAGATGACTGATAGACAATACAGACAGTCATAAAGACAGAAGTATAGAATAGACAGCAGTAAATAAAGAGCTAGGCTGGCAGACGAAAGCTGGAGCTGCAGACTGAGATAGCCGATCCACAGTAGGCTGGGCGAGAACATTTATCATTAGTCTTTCTGTTGAACAGTGGGCCGTTGAGATGCGCCAACCCTCCAAGAACCCAATCACTTGAGCTAACTGGTTTATCTGAAGTGCATAAGAGTGAATAAGCAATGAGAAACTAAAGGATAATCGTTAGGAGTTTGGTTTTCAGGAGTGATGTCAGCACATCACTTGTACTGTAGGTTAAATACTGTATGCGCTTCAGCCAGGCTTCCTAGTCTCAATAATACAATCATCTTCAACAGTGATTCTGACCATGACCGTTATGGATCACCATAATGGGAAAGCTAGTCTGTCTGACTGTAGTTTAATCCTATACCGTTGAGCCAGGACTGGCCTGTTGTGTTGGACACTGATGGATTTCCTTCACAGAGGAAATTGTTGGATAAGAGGAGTTTACAAAAAAAAGCATTAAATCCACTGATGGATGAATGGAGGGAATGACAAGGTGCAGACACATTACACATAACGTTTTAGTGACAGAATACAGATATGGTATTACTGGAATTTGTGATTTAACAGTATAGCTCACATTTTTACATCTTTGGCTCTGAGGCTCTCTCTCTCTCTCACTCTCTCTGCAGTGGAGGCAGCCTCTACAAGTCCTCTGCACTCAGGCTGTGGGTTCAGGGGTATAGGGCACTCTCCAATCCTCTAGAATTTCCAGCATTAATGTTTAATCAGATGGAGTAAAACTCTGATATTCTGCACTTTGAGGAATCCTTCATTGGAGATCTGAATACAATGAGACAGGCTGCTGAGATGACTTGCTACCACCATATTGAACTTAGTGGCACCAGAGCCCGTGGAGTATTGGTTAGATTACATTGCTCTGGCTTGAGGTAAAATTATTTTAGTTGTGTTCACAATCATGACAAGACACCTCATAAGTATTAAGATGTTTCGGATGTTTTGGAAATCCAGACACAGGCCATTTCTATGGGGTGTGTAACAGCCCAACCTGAGTGTGAGAAAAATAGACAATATACGGTAATTCTGTGTCTCTAACAATAGATGATGCAGGCGGAGCAATTATTCAATGCCTTAGTGGCCAAAACAGCAGGGAAACCAAGGCCAGATCAATGTGCATTATGCTCCTCATAAATTGTACATTATGCCCCGTCAGTGTCTGAGCTTTAGTAGTAGGAGCATGGTTTGGATATGGAGTTTTCATTTCAGTGTGTGTGACTGGGTGTGTGTGTTTTTTAGGTCTGTATGTATTTGTTGAAGTGTCTGAGTGTGTGTGTGTTTTATCTGTGTGCTGTGTGTCTGATCATACTTCTGTAAGAGTTCAGGGAACACGTGCGTTGAGTTGTGTGCATTCTGTTGGTAATGCATGTGAAACCTGACTCCTGGCTGATACAGAGTGCTGCTCCTCTTGGGTCAGAGATGACTGGAGAGCTTCCACACTACCACTGACATCATAGCTACCCACCCTACTCTCTCTAACTTTACTCTAGACAAGAACGGCCTGACTGCAGTTAGCTGGGGAAGGATGGAGGGAGTTCATTCTAGCCTGCACTTAGGACAATACCTGAGTGACCAGGGATTTATAGCATGGAAAAACATAGCATGGGCCATGTGTAGCTCAGTTGGTAGAGCATGGCGCTTGCAACGCCAGGGTTGTGGGTTCGTTTCCCATGAGGGGCCAGTATGAAAATGCATGCACTCACTAACTGTAAGTCGCTCTGGATAAGAGCGTCTGCTAAATGACTAAAATGTAAATGTAAAAAACAGAGCGAGAACAAGAGGACATGAAGAGCATGGGGTGTGAGAGAGGCTGAACTTAATGATTCAGTCTTGCTCTGTAATAGTGTAGGACACGCAACCCTAGACTGCTCCTCTACTACGCCCATTAGCCATCATCCTATATGCATCAGGAATACTGGGAGCGCCGGGGTTCAGACCAGAGTGACAGGAATCCATCTTGCTGCTCCTGGCCTCCCTGCTGGGGCTGTGTTTGAGTGTGTGTTGGGGTTGAGTGTGTGTTGCGAGTGGAGATAGATAGTGTGTAATGGCACAATGATGGTCTGGATCTCTGTCAGGGGAGGAAGCTGCATGGCAAGTAGTTTCACACCACCACAGAGAATACGCGTTAAAGCCTTAATACAGTGGGGAGAACAAGTATTTGATACACTGCCGATTTTGCAGGTTTTCCTACTTACAAAGCATGTAGAGGTCTGTAATTTTTATCATAGGTACACTTCAACTGTGAGAGACGGAATCTAAAACAAAAATAAAAAAAATCACATTGTATGATTTTTAAGTAATTAATTTGCATTTTATTGCATGACATAAGTATTTGATACATCAGAAAAGCAGAACTTAATATTTGGTACAGAAACCTTTGTTTGCAATTACAGAGATCATACGTTTCCTGTAGGTCTTGACCAGGTTTGCGCACACACTGCAGCAGGGATTTTGGCCCACTCCTCCATACAGACCTTCTCCAGATCCTTCAGCTTTCGGGGCTGTCGCTGGGCAATACGGACTTTCAGCTCCCTCCAAAGATTTTCTATTGGGTTCAGGTCTGGAGACTGGCTAGGCCACTCCAGGACCTTGAGATGCTTCTTACGGAGCCACTCCTTAGTTGACCTGGCTGTGTGTTTCGGGTCGTTGTCATGCTGGAAGACCCAGCCACGACCCATCTTCAATGCTCTTACTGAGGGAAGGAGGTTGTTGGCCAAGATCTCGCGATACATGGCCCCATCCATCCTCCCCTCAATACGGTGCAGTCGTCCTGTCCCCTTTGCAGAAAAGCATCCCCAAAGAATGATGTTTCCACCTCCATGCTTCACGGTTGGGATGGTGTTCTTGGGGTTGTACTCATCCTTCTTCTTCCTCCAAACACGGCGAGTGGAGTTTAGACCAAAAAGCTCTATTTTTGTCTCATCAGACCACATGTGTTACAAATGGTTTTCTTTGAGACTGTGGTCCCAGCTCTCTTCAGGTCATTGACCAGGTCCTGCCGTGTAGTTCTGGGCTGATCCCTCACCTTCCTCATGATCATTGATGCCCCACGAGGTGAGATCTTGCATGGAGCCCCAGACCGAGGGTGATTGACCGTCATCTTGAACTTCTTCCATTTTCTAATAATTGCGCCAACAGTTGTTGCCTTCTCACCAAGCTGCTTGCCTATTGTCCTGTAGCCCATCCCAGCCTTGTGCAGGTCTACAATTTTATCCCTGATGTCCTCTGGTCTTGGCCATTGTGGAGAGGTTGGAGTCTGTTTGATTGAGTGTGTGGACAGGTGTCTTTTATACAGGTAACGAGTTCAAACAGGTGCAGTTAATACAGGTAATGAGTGGAGAACAGGAGGGCTTCTTAAAGAAAAACTAACAGGTCTGTGAGAGCCGGAATTCTTACTGGTTGGTAGGTGATGAAATACTTATGTCATGCAATAAAATGCAAATGAATTACTTAAAAATCATACAATAGTGATTTTCTGGATTTTTGTTTTAGATTCCGTCTCTCACAGTTGAAGTGTACCTATGATAAAAATTACAGACCTCTACATGCTTTGTAAGTAGGAAAACCTGCAAAATCGGCAGTGTATCAAATACTTGTTCTCCCCACTGTACTTAATATAAATACACACTAAACATCTATGATTACTAGTTAAAACACGCTGGGCTGGGGCTGACTGCATTGAATGGAAATAGCAGTTGAGGAGATAGAAATAAGTCAGGAGAGTTGATCAATCTGATAAATATGTATTTATTAAACGTCTACATATGTACATTCTCAGAGAATAAGGCATTTAAGTTAGTTGTAAAAAAAAAAGTATCTATTTATATAAAAAATACAAAACACAAAAATAACACTAACCATGTTTGATAAATGACCATTTGAAAAGATGATGTACATTTGGTCCCTGGATGAGGTCAGAGGTGTAGGGTCAAGGGTCAGCGTCGGGAGGCCAGGCTGCTCCTGACAGAGGTGGTGGCAGCCTTCTCTCTCTCCTTAACCAGCTCCATCTCTACCTTCGCCTGGATCTTCTCCCAGTCCACCTCCACCTGATGGAGAGAGAGAGGGGGAGAGAGAAATTAGAGGAGTGGGTCAGTCTAATGGGGCATAGTATGATAGAAATGGCACATTGCCTCTTGTAGCAATACTGTCTGGTTTCGAAGAGAAGAAGTCTTTACTACTACAGTTGGTCAGTGGTCACTGCCTTCGGAAAGTGTTCAGACCCCTTGATTTTTTCCACATTTTGTTAAGTTACAGCCTTATTCTAAAATGGATTAAATAAAACATTTTCCTCAGCAATCTACACATAATATCCCATATGACAAAGCGATAACAGGTTTTTAGATTTTTTGTAAATGTATTACAAATAAACTGAAATACCTTATTTACATAAGTATTCAGACCCTTTGCTATGAGACTCGAAATTGAGCTCAGCTGCATCCTGTTTCCATTTATCATCCTTGAGATGTTGCTACAACTTGATTGGAGTCCACCTGTGGTAAATTCAATTGATTGGACATGATTTGGAAAGGCAAACACCTGTCTATATAAGGTCCCACAGTTGACAGTACATGTCAGAGCAAAAACCAAGCCATGAGGTCGAAGGAATTGTCCGTAGAGCTCCGAGACAGGATTGTGTTGAGGCACAAACATTTCTGCAGCATTGAAGGTCCCCAAGAACACAGTGGCCTCCATCATTCTTAAATGGAAAAAGTTTGGAACTACCAAGACTCTTCCTAGAGCTGGCCGCCCAGCCAAACTGAGCAATCAGGGGAGAAGGTCCTTTGTCAGGGAGGTGACCAAGAACACAATGGTCACTCTGACAGAGCTCTAGAGTTCCTCTGTGAAGATGGGAGAACCTTCCAGAAGGACAACCATCTCTGCAGCACTCCACCAATCACGCCTTTATGGTAGAGTGGCCAGACGGAAGCCACTCCTCAGTAAAATCCACATGACAGCCCGCTTGGAGTTTGCCAAAAGATACCAAAGACTCTCAGACCATGAGAAACAAGATTCTCTGGTCTGATGAAACCAAGATTGAACTCTTTGGCCTGAATGCCAAGTGTCACGTCTGGAGGAAACCTGGCACCATCCCTATGGTGAAGCATGGTGGTGGCAGCATCATGCTGTGGGGATGTTTTTCAGCAACAGGGACTAGGTGACTAGTCAGGATCGAGGGAAAGATGAACGGAGCAAAGTACAGAGAGAGCCTTGATGAAAACCTGCTCCAGTGCGCTCAGGACCTCAGACTGGGGTGAAGGTTCACCTTCCAACAGGACAACGACCCTAAGCACACAGCCAAGACAACGCAGGAGTGGCTTCGGGACAAGTCTCTGAATGTCCTTGAGTGGCCCAGCCAGAGCCCGGACTTGAACCCGATCGAACATCTCTGGAGAGACCTGAAAATAGCTGTGCAGCAACGCTCCCCATCCAACCTGACAGAGCTTGAGAGGATCTGCTGAGAAGAATGGGAGAAACTCCCCAAATATAGGTGTGCCAAGCTTGTAGCGTCATACCGAAGAAGACTTGAGGCTGTAATTGCTGCCAAAGGTGCTTCAACAAAGGACTGAGTAACAATTTTATACATTTTAGAATAAGGCTGTAATGTAACAAAATGTGGAAAAAGTCAAGGAGTCTGAATACTTTCCGAACGCACTGTATGACAGTCAAAAGCAATGACATATCCTACCCCTTCAGCGTACTGCATGAACCTCTTGTTGGTCTCTTTCTTGCTAAAGTCCTGCAGGAACTTGAGTCTGTAGGCCAGCACTGTGTCCACATGGGTCTTATGTTTTACTGCCAGCTCCAACGCCCTGAGGACACATGAAGCGTTCAGTCTCATTCACAGACGCATATGTATGTATACATAGACAGACAGAGAAAGAAATGTCAGACAGACATTCAGAGACAGACAGACATTCAGTCACACATTCAGAGACAGACAGTCATTCAGACATTCAGAGACAGACAGACAGACATTTAGAGACAACCAGACACACCCACACCTGTCCCAGTTGTAGAGGTTGATGTGGACCTGTATGGCTTGGTAGACCAGGCCAGCCTGTAGCAGAGTGACCTCAGCCTCCTGGACATGACCACTGAACAGTAACATGTGGGCCACTGAAGATTCCTTAGACGGCAGATCCTTGATAGAGTTAATATACTGCACCTTATCCACCTGGAGAGAGCGAGAGAGGGGAGAGAAATATAGGAAAACAGAATGACATTTACATTTACATTTTAGTCATTTAGGAGACGCTCTTATCCAGAGCGACTTAGTGAGTGCATACATTTTCATACTGGCCCCCCGTGGGAAACAAACCCACAACCCTGGCGTTGCAAGCGCCATGCTCTACCAACTGAGCTACAGTGGAGGAGAAAAGGAAAGAGTGAGATTTTAGTGTTTGATGGATGGTCTTACCTCTCCAATGGCAGCGTAGGCCACCTCTGCTGTCGTCAACTCCCTATTGGCCATTGCCATGCCAGCGAGACACGCCCACAGCGACTGGTCCTATAGGAACGGCGACAGACATTAGGCAAATAGGAAATGAAATTCGCCATACACACATTGTCTTAGCATAAATAAACAGGCGCACACACACACACACACACAGGATAGGGAGCAGGCATGAGTGCCAGGGGACAGGGAGCAGGGGTATGAGGGTATATGGGGGATGGAACTGCTGCTCAGCCTGACAGGCTGGTGGTGGCGCCGGGGCGTAGCGCGTGGCCCAGCCCTGACCACAGGCCCTGCACAGGGGGGCTAGTTTAGCCCTGCTCCCCTGGGTCATTAAAGGGACAGGGCACAGAGAGAGGAGGGCTGTGTGTGTTATTAGAGGAACGGGAGGGCCATTACACTGGTGTCTCTACAGGGGCACTCTTCCCACTCCCAGTCTGCTCATCCTCACAATACAGGCCTCGTTAGTGTCACTCTGCAGGGCACAGTATACACAAAGATCATACATCTCTCTCTCACACACACACACACACACACACCCTGTAATCTGACTTCCGTGTGTGAGTCTGATATCATACTCATGCAGGACACACAGACGTACTTGGACAAACATGCAGACGTAATGTTACTCCCATTCACTCTTACAGTCACACTCAAACTATGCCACTCAACAGTATCGTTGAAAGCAAAGCCCAGAACAAAATCCTCATCTCATCTGAATCCTTCATTAAGACAAACAACATTGGCCATAAAACCGTGAAGACAACAACAACAAAATCATCCTTTGCTAAAGCCACTAAATGCTGGTCAGAGAGAGATGGGCCAGTTTCCTCCAATCAGAGGAGCGATGTGGTCCATTGTGGTGTTGGCTCACTGTTAGAGCCTGCCTGGAGATTTAGTCACACTGCTGGGCTGCCCATGTTTGTGTGACTGTGTACAGTATGGTTGTTTGTGTACAGGCCTATCAGCATGTGTGTGTGTTTAAGCATGTGTGCATGCTCTTTACGCGTGTGTGCTTGTGTCTGTTAACAACAATTCAGTGCCATGAAAGTATCCACAAGGGGCTAATCCTCCATACCTGGCTAACAGGACTTCCCCACAACACTCCTCCCACTCCGGGAAAAACCACACCACACGGCCACGAAAGACCAAACCCTTACCAGAAATAGGAGGAAGAAGGAGGGGTGACTATTAAAAGTGGTGACGCTCCTTCTTTCATACAGTGCCTTCAGGAAGTATTCACACCCCTTGACTTTTTCCACATTTTGTTTTGTTACAACCTGAATTTAAAATTGATTTAATTGAGATTTTGTGTCACTGGCCCACACACAATACCCCATAATGTCAAAGTGGAATTATGTTTTTAGACATTTTTAAGAATTAAAAAAAAAAATTAAAAGCTGAAATGTCTTGACCCAATTAGTATTCAACCCCTTTGTTATGGTAAGCCTAAATAAGTACAAGAGTAAAAATGTGCTTAAAAGTCACATAATAAGTTGCATGGACTGTGTGCAATAATAGTTTTTAACATGATTTCTGAATTACTACCTCGTCTTTGTACCCCACACATACAATTATCTGTAAGGTCCCTCAGTCAAGCAGTGAATTTCAAACACAGATTCAACCACAAAGACCAAGGATGTTTTTCCAATGCCTCGCAAAGAAGGGCACCTATTGGGTAAAAATAAACAAAAGCAGACATTGAATATCCATTTGAGCATGGTGAAGGTATTCATTACACTTTGGATGATGTATCAATATACCCAGCCACTACAAAAGACACAGGTGTCCTTCCTAACTCAGTTGCCGGAGAGGAAGGACACCGCTCAGGGATTTCACCATGAGGCCAATGGTGACTTTAAAACAGTTACAGAGTTGAATGGTTGTGATAGGAGAAAACTGAGGATGGATCAACAACATTGTAAACTCAGCAAAAAAAGAAACGTCCTCTCACTGTCAACTTCGTTTATTTTCAGCAAACTTAACGTGTAAATATTTGTATGAACATAACAAGATTCAACAACTGAGACATAAACTGAACAAGTTCCACAGACATGTGACTAACAGAAATGGAATAATGTGTCCCTGAACAAAGGGGGGTCAAAATAAAAAGTAACAGTCAGTATCTGGTGTGGCCACCAGCTGCATTAAGTACTGCAGTACATCTCCTCCTCATGGACTGCACCAGATTTGCCAGTTCTTGCTGTGAGATGTTACCCCACTCTTCCATCAAGGCACCTGCAAGTTCCCAGACATTTCTGGGGGGAATGGCCCTAGCCCTCACAGGTCCCAGACGTGCTCAATGGGATTAAGATCAGGGCTCTTCGCTGGCCATGGCAGAACACTGACATTCCTGTCTTGCAGGAAATCACGCACAGAACGAGCAGTACGGCTGGTGGCATTGTCGTGCTGGCGGGTCATGTCAGGATGAGCCTGCAGGAAGGGTACCACATGAGGGAGGAGGACGTCTTCCCTGTAACGCACAGCGTTGAGATTGCCTGCAATGACAACAAGCTCAGTCCGATGATGCTGTGACCCACCGTTCCAGACCATGACGGACCCTGGTTCCTGGTGTAACTCGGGCAGTTGTTGTTGCCATCCTGTACCTGTCCCGCAGGTGTGATGTTCGGATGTACCGATCCTGTGCAGATGTTGTTACACGTGGTCTGCCACTGCGAGGACGATCAGCTGTCCGTCCTGTCTCCCTGTAGCGCTGTCTTAGGCGTCTCACAGTACGGACATTGCAATTTATTGCCTAAGGCACGTTCACTCAGATGAGCAGGGATCCTGGGCATCTTTCTTTTGGTGTTTTTCAGAGTCAGTAGAAAGGCCTCTTCAGTGTCCTAAGTTTTCATAACTGTGACCTTAATTGCCTACCGTCTGTAAGCTGTTAGTGTCTTAACGACCATTCCACAGGTGCATGTTCATTAATTGTTTATGGTTCATTGAACAAGCATTGGAAACAGTGTTTAAACCCTTTACAATGAAGATCTGTGAAGTTATTTTGATTTTTATGAATTATCTTTGAAAGACAGGGTCCTGAAAAAGGGACGTTTCTTTTTTTGTTGAGTTTACTTACTCCACATTACCAACCTAATTGACAGAGTGAAAAGAAGGAAGCCTGTACATAATAAAAATATGCCAAAACATGCATCCTGTTTGCAACAAGGTACTAAAGTAAAACTGCAAAAAATGTGGCAAAGAAATTAACTTACTGTTCTGAATACAAAGCATTGTTTGGGGCAAATTCAACACAACATCACTGAGTACCACTCCTCATATTTCTAAGCATGGTGGTGGCTGCATCATGTTATGGGTATGCTTGTCATCGGCAAGGACTAGAGAGTTTTTTAAGGATAAAAATAAACGCAATAGAGCTAAGCACAGGCAAAATCCTAGAGGAAAACCTGGTTCCGTCTGCTTTCCAACAGACACTGGGAGACAAATTCACCTTTCAGCAGGACAATAACCTAAAACCAGGGAAAATATACACTGGAGTTGCTTACCAAGAAAAACAATGTTCCTGTTAAGTGTTTTTACTTAAATCGGCTTGAAAATCTATGGCAAAACTTGAAAATGGCTGTCTAGCAATGATCAACAACCAACTTGACAGAACTTGAAGAATTTTAAAAAGAATAATTTTAAAATATTGTACAATCCAGGTGTGCAAAGCTCTTAGAGACGTACCCAGAAAGACTCACAGCTGTAATCGCAGCCAAAGATGATTCTAACATGTATTAACTCAGGGGTGTGAATATTTATGTAAATGAGATATTTATGCATTTCATTTTCAATAAATGTGCACACCAAAAAATACTTTGTCATTATGGGATATTGTGTGTAGATAGGTGAGAAAATAATTTAATCCATTTTGAATTCAGGATGTAACACAACAAAATGTGGAATAAGTCAAGGGGTATGAATACTTTCTGAAGGCATTGCATATACCCACTTCACCCCCCTCTCCCCTCCCCTGTCCCCTCTAGCCATCCTGCTCCAGGGTTGTGGTTATTGCATCATAACCCATGCAGCGCACACTGTGAAGGCTCTCACTGGGGTTTGGGTTCAGGGGTTGGCTGCGTGTGTGTGTGTGTGTGTGTTGGGGAGGTTAAATACGGTAAATGGTGTCACCCAGGCTAATTAGAAACTAATTAAAAGCTGCTGGTCGTGTCTCATTAAAGCTCCACTCCAGTGGCTCCGTCATGGACCCTTCACCATGCCAAGGCCCAGGGCTGCAGGACACGTCATTTACAAACACATACACCCTCCTACAGACAAACACACACCAACCAGAAAGTAAACACACATGGGCAGTGGGCACACACACACTCATGCACAGCACACACACAGACATCAACCCCAACCAACAAACACACACTGAAGGACTAGGTTTTCTTGAAGTATCCAGTCAATATCTTCATGTGTGTATATGGTCCATGCTGTACTGTCTATGGTGGAGTACCACAGGGCAGTTAGCAGATGAGGAGAGAAACCTGAACTAAAGGAAGGGATAGGAGGAAGAGGAGGAGGAGAAGGAACTAAAATGAGGACATGAGGAGAATGACAAAGACGAGGACAGGGGTAAAAGGGAACGTGGAAAGATGTAAATGAATGAGAGAGAGAGAGACTCACCTCTTCCTCAGAGGTCTAGCACACAGAGACTCAGTGAGGGGGTGTGAGACACCAACACAGGAGAGGAACATCATGGACAAAGACATAAAACAATCGGACAGACGAGACAACCAGACAGACATGAGTACAGTAATTTGACACACTGACACTGAGACAGGACATTGAGACACATGCACACCCCACTGCAAAAGAGTGACAGTGAGTTCCCACGCTGCCTGTTGTTCCCACGCTATAGTGGGGGGAACCCATAAGGTCTATCAGAACACTAGAACCCTGGAGGAATCCCATTCACTATTCCCTCAGGCCCTTGACCCCCCTATCACCAACCCCCCAGGACCCAGACCTGTGGCCCCACAGCCCGTGGCCCCTCTCGGGCTGAGTGTTTCCCCTGGGGCCCGGGCTCTGGTTATCTGGTCCCTCTGGCCCTGCTCTGCTCTGCTGCAACCCACAATGTGCTAGCAATTACAGGCCGCTAATTACACCATTTATCCTAAATAACTGGCTTTAAGAAAGGGGCTCAGAGCTCAGGGCACAGAGCAGCCCCCTCTCCTGGGTAGGGTAGAGGTAGGGCCAGGGAGACAGCAGGCCTGGTGTTACACATTACTTAACACTGGCATATTCTATTTATTTATTATTCTATTTTCAACATAATGTAAAGAGTTTTTTAAGATGTGTTTTGTACAGTATTTAGAGTTGAATATGATGTGTGCTATGTGCTATACAGGTCAGACTCATTCTGTATCGGACCAGGGATTCACCAGGGAAAGTCCCCTTTCAGTTGTAACTCCTGTCAGGTGTGTGTGTTACCTTGGCAAAGCGGCAGAGGCGCAGTGCGTCCTCCCAGCGAGAGGAGGCGCTGTACTCGTGCAGTAGGCCAGGGTAGGGAGACACGCTGCTGTACACCAACGAGCCGTCACCGCGACGCACAGTCACTTGGGTCCCCACATAGTTCAGGATATGGGGCGCACGGCTAAACTCACTGTGGAGGGGGACAGATGGACAGACAGATATAAAAATACATTCTGTACAGACAGCCACCTAGCCTAAGGGCAGCCACTCAGGAATATCTTCATTGATTAATCAACGGCTTTTATACAACATGAAAATATTTGAGATGAAGATGATGCATTACCTTTTACTTCCGATAATGGGGAACTGTTTTCTGTGTGCACACGTGTGTGTGTGTGTGTTTGCGTGCACATGTTACCTGGCATCCTTCATGTAGAGTGTTTTAGGCAGCAGGTCCTTGTCAGTGAAGACAGCACTGGGATAGTGCCACACGGTGAACTGTGTGTCCTGAATACCACACAGGATGTTAGCTGAGTCGTTCCAGGCCATAGTGTGGACCATAGTACCTGTAGAGCAGGATAGAGACCAACAACACACTCTTATTAACAACACTCAGAATAACTAACTATCCACACAAACAGCTAACCTCTACCACATGGTGTGTAGACCATAGTACATGTGGGTTGTGGTAAGAAAGATGATGTTATCTATCTGGTATGCTTTAGGTGCTTAACAACACAAAGCAGTTTGAAATCTATCTCCTTCCCTCTCTCCTACCTATCTTGCAGATGTTGTGTTCTCTGTTGTGGCGGCGGACAGCGGTCAGGTACAGGTCACGGTTCTTGTCTATGACCGCGATCTTCCTCTCGCTGGACGGGCCACACTGGTCCAGAGCTATCTCCACCACCTCCATCTGGAAAACACATACACATGCATACACACACACACACACACACACACAGTGAAATGAGAGGCAGAAAGTTGTGTGGGAGAGACCTGGTTCACATTAACAGGGCTAACTGAACCACCAGTGTCAAACCCAACCAGTCCCCATAACACATACACTTACAATATTGTATTTTGGTACACATCTCTTTTCAACACATGATCACCCATATCACAAGCCCACTTCTGTCCTCTCTACACTCTCTAGTCCCCAGTACAGCCCTGAGTACACAGCCACAGGAGGACTAGGAGGGAACAATTGTGCCCAGATCAGAGGGAAGATACTCAACTCAGAGGGAAGAGGTGGAGGAAAGAGGTAAGAGGGAGAGAGTAGACAGGAGGGAGAAATGGGGGAGGCAAGAGAGAGGAAGGGGGTGCCAGCAGTCTGACCCCACAGCTCCTGGCCCATACTCCCCAACAGGAGTGTATGTGCGTGTGTGTGACTGTGTGTGTGTGTGTGTGTGTCAGAGCCAGCTGGCTTCAGTGCAGTGCTCCTCTGTCTTGGAGCTGTGGAGTGCTGGCAGACACAGCCATGCTGACAAACAGTAACTACTGTTCCTGGCTACTTCACCTCCTTTTCTCCCTCTCTAATTCACTCCCTCTCTCTTTATCCCTTTCACTCCATAACCCTCCCCCTTTCTCTCCATTCTCCATCTCTTTCTCACACACATGCACTCCAATTTCCTCACAATCTGTATGTCTCCCTCTTAACTATCAAGTTTCTTATTTTTTCCTCAACACCTTCTCTCTGCCTTCTCCCCATGGCTCCCTGACCTTTTCACCCTGGCCTGTTGGGGGCACTGAAACCCACCACACTTACTCACACTGTCCCACAGCTACCCTGAGGCACAGATCTAGGATCAGCTTACCCTCCCCCAATCCTAAAAGGTTGCTTAATGTAACAGTACGGATTAAGACGTAGACATGTGAAGATATACACAGTCTTCTCAGGTCAGTGTGTGCACACTAACAGGAGAGTGTAGTGTGTGTTGTGACTAACTGTTGGTGTGTGTTAGTTGGTGAATCACCCACCTTGTGAGTCAGGGGCTTCCCGTCGCCCAGGGCTTTCCCCGTCAGGGCATCAAACAAAAAGATGACTGGAGGAAAATAAGAGGGGGGGGGGGGGGGGGGGGGGAGCGGGATAATGATTACAAACTTCATTGTTCCAGTCCTGCTAAAGTCATTTCTCCAGCTTTTTATCCCCTGGTGAAGTGTAATCCTCTTGTTGACAAAGTGCTCCTGATGTTTCAATGTGTTTAACGGCTGTAAATGTCATTGAGCGAAGAAGCCAAAGGCAAATCTCTCCCCGCTGTGTGGACAATAAAGTATTGTACCACAATAATTGTATTGTGGTAGTGAAGGGACGTTCCACTCACCCTTCTCATCGCTCTTGTCCCGGATGGCGATGGTGTCGTTGCTAAGGGAGACTGACTGGGCGTTGAGGATGTCCGTTCTCATGCCGGGGAATCTGGGCGTGGAGATGAGACGTCCCTCGTAGGAGAACACATAAACCCCTGTCCCATCCACCAACAGGAAGTGTCTGAGGGAGGAGCCAAAATAAAGAGAAGGGGAGAGAAAGATTAGAGGGGGAGTGATAGAAAGCAAGGGACAGAGAGATGGAGAGGAGAGAAGGAGCGATAGAGGCAGGAGGGAGCAACAAAGAGGAGAGTGGGAATGGTAGAGAGGAGAGGAGAGGGAGAGCATAACAAACTGCAAGATGGAGCCAAGATATTACAAAACTCAATGACTAATTTCTCTGAAAAGGGAAAGAAAATACCGCCAAATTCACTGGGAATACATTACATAGCATGAAGAAACAATACTCTGAGCCGCAGCTCCATACTACTTGTCAGACATACAGAACTGATACTATATAGTCGTTGTTGGGGTGGGATTGGAATGGGGTGTGGGGGTCCGTGTGTGGCTTTTGACCATTTCTTTGGATTCCTCATGTCTAACTCATTGTTAGAAAAAAGTTTGGTCCAAATCGGATGTTAGGTACTATATTTATTTGATATGATATGAATCCTATAAATTAAAACAGCCAATTTGGGTGCAATCAATTATCTTAATTTCTCAGAGATCAAATTATATTTCAACAAAATAATGTTGCATCTTATCTGTTTCTAACAACAGAAACAATTTCAGAACAATCTGAGATGGTAGGAGTCGAAATCCTCTTTCTTGTGCTTTGTGAGGTGGAACGACCCATTAGAGAGAATGATAGATGTCCATCTCTCTGTTCCCTACTGCAGTCAGGCTTCCACAGCCAGACCTTCTCTGCTAATGGCACACATTCACACACAGTTCTCACAAACGCAAACACACACACAGACGCGCGCGCACACACACACAGCGTGTTTGGCAGGAGAGAGAGGGGGAGGGAAAGAAAAGGAGAGGGGGTCCAGAGATAGGCGCAACAGGGATAGACGAGACGGGAAAGACTAAGAGAGGGAGGAGGGACATCACTAGATAGAGAAAGAAGGATAAAGAGAGACTTACTTCTCAGCCTGTACAATGAGGCTGACGGTCCCCTCCTTCAGGTCAAAGATGAGAGGGGTGTTCCAGTTCTTAGCACTGTAGACGTAGCACTGGAGAGAGGTGGTGACCACCAGGTGACCGTTGGCCAGAGAGGCTTTGATGACCCGGTCCCTGAACTCCAGAACATCCACCGCATCATCCACCACGTTCCTCACCTGGGTGATGGATAGAGAAAGAGGGTGTGTTTAGGAACACACACACAGACATACACACAAACATGCACACGTAGCACAAATCTTGACATACATAAACACATACAGACATTGAGTCACAAATAATTTGAAATACTAACAAACTAATTGTAACAAACAGACTATAGCATATACACACAGGACATATTTTCTGAGACACTCATCGATGTATAGTAGGCATGGATGCACTCACGTAAACTCAAGAGTGTATTTACTGTTGATATATACAAGGAATCAGCCCATGTCTAAGCATAGGACAGCAGTGGACAGAAATGCCTGGTGTCTATACGTATGTGTGTGTGTTTCTACTTTTTCACCTGTTAGGATAAACATTTTCTTCCACATTTCCCTGTGAATCAATGAATGAATGAATGAATGAATGAATGAAATATGGTTTTCCACCAGCAGGTAAAAGGTGTGGTAGGTATTTATTTAAGGCTTTAAACATCATCCTTCTTTAACCCCCACTAACAACCCAAATTTACTCACCAAACAACCAGGAATAAAAATGCTTAACCGCGAAGTGGTAAATTTAGCCGCTTGATTCACAAACCATTGGCAGATGTGCACTTTTAAAAAAGAGAGGGAGAGTGAGGCAGAACGAGAGGGGAGAGAAAAAACCCTGAAAATAAACAGCTGAAGACACAGGTTTGTTTGGTTAACGCAAACAGTGCTCAGTGAGGGTTGTCTATGGCGAGTGTGCACGTGTGTGTGTGCGTATGCGTTTATCCACGTGTGTGTGTCCGTTTCTGTGTGCGCGCGCGGGGGGGGGGGGGGGGGGTGTCGACTGCGTGTAAACGCTACCTTGTGGTTTCTGAAGTTTAAACACACTCTGTGACGGAGGCTGCTACACAGGCTGGCCATTGTCACTGGTCCACACTGGGAGGCTTATAACATAATGTATGGCCACAAGTACCCAGGCCTGGGGAATAGTCTGGCCCTTTAAATAGCCTGTTAACTTCACCTCACTAGCGTCTGCCTCTCACACCAGCCCATTCACCCTCAGTTAGCTGTCTCATTAATTCATTTAGGCTCGGGGACTGTTTGGCTTCTTAAGTGAAGTAAAGATTAAGACTTTTTCTGGAGGGTTAACCAAGCATATGGCATAAGGAACCTGCCCTGAAACACCTGCATGGTCCTCCTCTTGGTGAGGGTGATCTGTGTGTGTGTTCTACCTGCATGGTCCTCCTCTTGGTGAGGGTGATCTGTGTGTGTGTTCTACCTGCATGGTCCTCCTCTTGGTGAGGGTGATCTCGAAGCTCCTCCACTCCCAGCGCTGCTCCACCACGTGGGCGAAGATGACGTGTCCGTTCCCACAAGCCCCCGCGAGCTGTGTGCCGTCTGCCGACCAGGCCAGGCTGAACACACTGCCCGTGTTAGGCTTCTCCAACGCATAGGACCACTAGAGAGAGAGAGAGAGACAAAGAGAGAAAGTGAGAGAAAGACAAAGAGAAAGCGAGAGAGAAAGACAGAGAGAGATTGTTGGCAAAACAAAAAGGGTATTTGGTAGTACTGTACTTAATCAATGCACAATTTCAAACAATAAGACAGATACTGTGCAGCCATAAAGGGGTAAAAGAGGTAGGGGTACAGTAAGCCAGGGTGGTTAGGGATAGAGAGAGGGGTGGGGGTGAACAGGGATAGGTGCAGTATGGGGGTAGTGGGGGGTTTGGTTGGGTGCATGACAGCCCCCCCATGTAAACTGTGTGTAAAAGACACGGGTTGAGTCAGGGCCCAGTCACTGAGCTGTGATGAACTGTGAGACACTGAAGGAGCGCTCAGGCCTGCCAAGTCCAGCGCTCATAAACATGCACTCTGCTATCCTCATCTATTACAACCAGCCAGAGTTATAGGGGGGGATAGGGTCGCATGAGCACACAACCAAGAGCCAAAGAGTGATTACCCAAACCTTCTCCTTTCTTTTTAAAATTCTATTTTACTTTTCTTTTTTAAGGGAGGGAGGTGGTGGGGGGTTGCTGTGTGTGTGTGTGTGTGTGTGTGTGTGTGTGTGTGTGTGTGTGTGTGTGTGTATGTGTGTGTGTGTGTGTGTTGGGGGTGTAGTGGAGGTTTTTCTGGTGTGTCGGTGGGAGTCAGTGACACCCATCGAGACAGCTGAGAAGAGGCTGCAGCTCCTTCCAACTCCCCAGCCTGCCGTTTGGAACACACCACACCACCACGACAACACAGGACGTTACTCACTAAAGCCACTAGAAAAACACTCCCTCCCCCCGCTCTCTCTCTCCAAGATATCCCTTTGCTCTCTTTTCTTCTCTCACTGCTCCCTCTCTCCTCTCTCTCAGCATTCTGCAGAGTATCACACAAAGCCTATTCTGTTATTGGGCTTCTGGTTTAGAAATCCAGCCTGTCAGAACGCTTATGATTGAGTTGAGATAGTTTGGGCTTGCAGTTGTGTTTTTTCAACCTGTTGGGATGCTATTTGGGGTTTAACTAATGGAGAGGCCAGATTAGCAATGCCACACTTAAACAGTTAGGTACACAAGAACCAGGACTCTAGTGTGAAAGGGAACTCTCCTGCTTCCCCACTGTCTCGTCCTTCGCTCTTTACCCTACTTTCTCAACTCTCTCTCATTCTCCACCCTCTCTCTTTTTACCCCTCACTATCCTGTCTCTGTACCCCTATCTAGTCCCCCTCTGTCTCTCTTTTACTCCTTTCACCCCTTCCCTCTCTCCTCTCTCTGTCCACAGTCTACATTAAAAATACATTCCTCCATGGGCAGCCAAAGACAGTGATGACCTTCTCTTGGTGACCTTTAACCCCTGACCCCTTTGCCTCAGCCAGTTTCAGTTTGCAGGTGGCTGGCAGGGCTCACCAGCTTTATCAGCCATCCCTTTTTTCAGTCTCACCTCTCTCCTCTGGTCTAGTCTGTGACCCCTGACCTCTATGCCTCAGCTCTTTCCTGTGTGCAGGTGGCTGGCAGGGCTGAGGCTGCTTACAGAGGGAGAAACCGCTAATGCTAACATTACCCTAGCGCTGCTTGTTAGAGACTGTATGGGACGCCAAGTGCTGTGCTGCACAGAAAAGGTCTGTGTTGTCTTCATGTGCTGAGGTGTGGCTTTGTATACGGTCTCAGCCGGCAGGTTGGAGCCCACTCTGTTTGATCAGTCTGTCTGTCTGTCTGTCTCTCTCTCTGTCAGAACTGCCAGCGGCCACGTCAAAACAGAAGATTTCCTTGGTCAGCTTCCTCCCCTGTAATACTGTTTCAGGACCCAAAATAGCCAAAGAAAAAAAATATACTCTTTACCAATATGGACAAAATATTTCTTGTTAAACTCATATCAAAAGTGGCGTTTTCTTTCATTTCTGCACGCCCTCCCCTCTTTTACCTCTACCGCGCTCTCCCTCCTTCCTCATAAATCCTGCGATAGAAATGACTTTCCTTATTTTTCGGTGTGCGTGTGCATATGCGTGTGTACCACAAAGATAAACAGGGTCCGGCCGCATTAAGGCCGCTGCAGGGCTTTGAAGTGTGCTTTTATATACCTTTCCTCCAAACATCAGCACTATGATTGGACAGGCTCCACCGCCAACGAGAGCATACACGCTTAAAATAATAATACCCCATCTATTCTTCAGCAAACATCCAAGCCGCTCCATTTTAGAGCTCCCCTGGGGGAGAAGAGGGGGAGGAGGGGGGAGAGGAGGGGGTCAGAGATGCAGCTGAATGTATACACCACACTGTAATGAAGCAGGACACTTGATATCGGCCCGAGAAGCACTTTTAGACTTGTGCTTACCTAATGCTTTTAACACATTGGGCCATTTGACTCCTGCTGCAGCAAGTGTACGTTTGTGTGTGTATGTGTGTGAGAAAGAGAGAACACGGGTGTAGATTTAAATGTGTATAAGACATATGGTGGGGTGTGTAAATGTAATGTATGCACAGTTTGTGAGTGCAGTGTGTGTATGTGCGTGCGTGTTTGTGTGCGTGTGTGTGTATGCGTGCGTGCGTGTATGTATGTATGTGTGTGTGTGTGTGTGTGTGTCTAAAAGGTGAAAATCCCCAGGCTCTCTGTGTCAGGCAGTGAGTGAGTATGGGACACTGGGGGGTGTCCTGCAGCTCTCCTGAGAGAAGAGGTTACTCTACCTCTTTCTACCCCCTTCTCATTCTACCCATTCTACTGGAGCAGTGCTGGTTCACCTCTGGGCCACAGGGCTCCACTCCAGGGCTCTCTGCTCTCAACCACAGTTCAGTGTCAGGAAGGCCTCAGCTATAGACAACCATAGAGACCTGCAGCCATAGACAACCAAAGAGAGCTTCAGTCATAGAGAGCTTCAGCCGTACACAACCAAAGAGAGCTTCAACCATAGAGCGCTTCCGCCATAGACAACCATAGAGTGCTTCTGCCATTGACAACCATAGAGCGCTTCTGCCATTGACAACCATAGAGTGCTTCCGCCATAGATAACCATAGAGAGCTTCTGCCATAGACAACCATAGAGAGCTTCCGCCATAGACAACCACAGAGCTTCCGCCATAGACAACCACAGAGAGCTTCAGCCAGACAAATAGAGCTTCAGCCATTGGGAGATGAGTGATAGAGGGGGAGAAAGAGGGAAGAGAGGAGCGAGTGAAGGGGAGAGAAGGATGAGAGGAGGGATATAAGGGCTGAAAGGGGATGAGAGGGGCGATGGAGGTGGATCAGTCAGCAGCAGATTTGCTGACTAGTTTTATTGGAGCCAAAAGGGATGATCCTGGCCCTGCTCCAACCACTCTGCTCTCTCCAGGAGAACACTGGACTAGCTAGGGGATATTCACAATCACACTGGAAACAGGGGAGGGAGAGAGAGGGGGGAGCAGCAGGAGAAGGGTGGAGGGGTGCTGGTAAGGGTCTGCTCTGGTCATGGAGCCCTGTCTATAATGGGCAGCTTTGTGGCCAGAGGGAAGGTGACAGACATGACGTGGAGCTCTGATGAGGTTTGGGGGAGAGAGAGGGGGGAGGAGAGAGAGAGAGAGAGAGAGAGGGAGAGGGAGAGACCCCTGACTCTTACAATGAGCTCATACACACAGACAGCACACTGCAGCATAACACTATAAACCACACACACACTGCTGCATAACACTATACACCATACACACACTGCATCATAACACTACACACCATACACACTATGAACTATACACACACTGCTGCACAGCACTATACACACACTGCTGCATACAGTGCCTTGCAAAAGTATTCATCCCCCTTGGCGTTTGTCCTATTTTGTTGCATTACAACCTGTAATTTAAATGGATTTTATTTGCATTTCATGTAATGGACATACACAAAATAGTCTAAATTGGTGAAGTTGAATGAAAAAAATCACTTGATTCAAAAAATTCTAAAAAATAAATAACGGAAAAGTGGTGCGTACATATGTATTCACCCCTTCGCTATGAAGCCCCTAAATAAGATCTGGTGCAACCAATTACCTTCAGAAGTCACATAATTAGTTAAATAAATGAGATGGGAGTATCTGTCCATAGGACCACTTTAAGCTGTACACTCCACAGAGCTGGGCTTTACAGAAGAGTGGCCAGAAAAAAGCCATTGCTTAAAGAAAAGAATAAGCAAACACGTTTGGTTTTAGCCAAAAGGTATATGGAAGTAGGTACTCTGGTCAGATGAGACTAAAATTGAGCTTTTTGGCCATCAAGGAAAATGCTATGTCTGGCGCAAATCCAACACCTCTCATCACCCCGAGAACACCATCCCCACTGTGAAGCATGGTGGTGGCAGCATCATGCTGTGGGGATGTTTTTCATCGGCAGGGACTGGGAAACAGGTCAGAATTGAAGGAATGATGGATGGCACTAAATACAGGGAAATTCTTGAGGGAAACCTGTTTCAGTCTTCCAGAGATTTGAGACTGGGACGGAGGTTCACCTTCCAGCAGGACAATGACCCTAAGCATACTGCTAAAGCAACACTTGAGTGGTTTAAGGGGAAACATTTAAATGTCTTGGAATGGCCTAGTCAAAGCCCAGACCAAAATCCAATTGAGAATCTGTGGTATGACTTAAAGATTGCTGTACACCAGCGGAACCCATCCAACTTGAAGGATCTGGAGCAGTTTTGCCTTGAAGAATGGGCAAAAATCCCAGTGGCTAGTTGTGCCAAGCTTATAGAGACATACCCCAAGAGACTTGCAGCTGTAATTGCTGCAAAAGGTGGCTCTAGAAAGTATTGATTTGGGGGGGGGGGGGGGCTTTTGGTGAATAGTTATGCACGCTCAAGTTCTTTTTTTTCCTTCTTATTTCTTGTTTGTGTCACACAAAAAAATATTTTGCATCTTCAAAGTGGTAGGCATGTTGTGTAAATCAAATGATACAACCTAATTCCAGGTTGTAAGGCAACAAAATAGGAAAAATGCCAAGGGGGGTGAATACTTTCGCAAGCCACTGCATCATAACACTATACACATACTGCTATGTATACACATGTGGAGCAGAAATGTAGACAGAGCCTCCTAATGACCACACACACAGGAGGTGACCCAATCTGATACACATGATCATTCAGAGGAGTAAGGGACACACACACACACCTGTCTAGAGAGTTAACATGGGTGTGTTAACCTGATTCACACCCCCACCCACACACACTCTTCAGCCTCACATGATCATGTGCTAGCTGCACTGTGGTGAGGAGAATAGACTTTGTGAAAGTAGCACTTTGGCCCTTCCCCCTTTGGCTTGGAACGTCAAGCGACGTTCCACAGGCTCTGGGTTCCAGCACGCAATGACCTACACACACAGGCATACATACAGAGAAACACACTTGAACACAGACACACACTTGTAAGCACACAAGAAGATAAACTCAGTCACTCACTCAAACACAAGCCCTCTCTCTCTTACACACACAGACAACAGACTAGTCAGACAACCTTGCCACCCTCTTTCAGGAACATTTGCTCTCTCCCTCCCTCCATTTCACTGCACATACGTTTGCCATTAAGATTGGCAGGTGTTGTGAGCCTGCCGCTTCTCCCTACTGCTGTAACGCGTTACAGCGAGCTGCAGGGAAAAATACTTAAAACTGATCTCAAAGGCAAGGAGGCGGTAACTCCTCAAACCCCCATCCTCACTAGCACCAGCCAGAGAGGCAAACTTCTCTCTCTTTCCTTCCCTCGCCCACTCTCCCCCTTAGTTTTTTTGGCGGGTTGGAGGTAAGGGAAAGGGGGATACCTAGAAAGGAAGAGACGAAGAGAAAATCGAAAGAGAGAGACGGAGAGTTTAAATAACAAATCGGTCCTCCCTTCACCCCTGCCCTGTGTCCTCTCCACCTGGAGCAGTACTTGGGGCTGAAGGGGGGACTTGGCTGGGACTGCAGAGGGGACTGGGCTGGTCTGGTCTGGGGCCTGGGGCAAGGAAGGGGTTAATTACACGTTTGGGCTAATGGCTCCCAGCGGAGCTATCTGCTGATTCAGCCCCATTACATCAGACGCATTAAATATGTCTGCTCTGACTGCTGCAGACAGGTCTGCTTCTCCTCACAACACGCTTATCGGCAGGGTAACATGTGAAGTCCCCCATCTCCCAAGTCTCCCCCTCCCCCCTCTGAAGCCCTCCCTACTCTAAAGGGAGAGAGAGAATAAAGGAGGGGGACAGAGTGAAAAAGAGGGAGAGAGCAAGTGCGCATGTGTGTGTGTGTGTGGTTCCTCTTTATCACAGTTTAAACCCATTGTCTCTCTCTGAAGATAGACTTTATTAAGTTAAGCCAACGCTAAATTATCATTAGCTCGGGTCTATCATTGCCAGAGTGGCTAATTCTATAAATCAACGTGGCTAGCATTTGGCTAACCTATAGCTATTAGCTTCCCAGTGTGGCTAGCCTATAGCTTGGCTAACATGATAAATCAGTGTGGCTACTGGCTAGCTGGCTGCTTGAAGAGCCCAGCTGGCTTCAGTTAGCCTCATTGTTCATGAGAGACGACCTGGCAGGGTAGGTATGGGGTGTAAATCCCTACACACTCCCCCCACATCAATGTACACTACCACGCAAGCATTGACAGACACAAACGTGCACACACAAGCACGAACGTGCATACGTGGACTTCAGGAAACAGCAGAGGGAGCACGGCCCTATCCACATCGATGGGACCGCAGTGGAGAAGGTGGAAAGCTTAACGTTCCTCGGCGTACACATCACTGACAAACTTTTACAGATGCACAATTGAGAGCATCCTGTCGGGCTGTATCACCGCCTGGTACGGCAACTGCACCGCCCGCAACCGCAGGGCTCTCCAGAGGGTGGTGTGGTCTGCCCAACTCATCATCGGGGGCACACTGCCTGCCCTCCAGGACACCTACAGCACCCGATGTCACAGGAAGGCCAAAAAGATCATCAAGGACATCAAACACCCGAGCCACGGCCTGTTCACGCCGCTATCATCCAGAAGGCGAGGTCAGTACAGGTGCATCAAAGCTGGGACCGAGAGACTGAAAAACAGCTTCTATCTCAAGGCCATCAGACTGTTAAAAAGCCATCACTAGCCGGCTACCACCCGGTTACTCAACCCTGCACCTTAGAGGCTGCTGCCCTATATACATAGACATGGAGTCACTGGCCACTTTAATAATGGAACACTAGTCACTTTAATATTGTCTACATACTGCTTTACTCATCTCATTCAGTGGGGAGAACAAGTATGATACACTGCCGATTTTGCAGGTTTTCCTACTTAAAAAGCATGTACAGGTCTGTAATTTTTATCATAGGTACACTTTAACTGTGAGAGATAAATCCAGAAAATCACATTGTATAATTTTTAAGTAATTAATTAGCATTTTATTGCATGACATAAGTATTTGATCACCTACCAACCAGTAAGAACTCCGGCTCTTACAGACCTGTTAGTTTTTCTTTAAGAAGCCCTCCTGTTCTCCACTCATTACCTGTATTAACTGCACCTGTTTGAACTCGTTACCTGTATAAAAGACACCTGTCCACACACTCAATAGACCTGCACAAGGCTGGGATGGGCTACAGGACAATAGGCAAGCAGCTTGGTGAGAAGGCAACAACTGTTGGCGCAATTATTAGAAAATGGAAGTTCAAGATGACGGTCAATCACCCTCGGTCTGGGGCTCCATGCAAGATCTCACCTCGTGGGGCATCAATGATCATGAGGCAGGTGAGGGATCAGCCCAGAACTACACGGCAGGACCTGGTCAATGACCTGAAGAGAGCTGGGACCACAGTCTCAAAGAAAACCATTAGTAACACACTACGCCGTCATGGATTAAAATCATGCAGCGCACACAAGGTCCCCCTGCTCAAGCCAGCGCATGTCCAGGCCCGTCTGAAGTTTGCCAATGACCATCTGGATGATCCAGAGGAGGAATGGGAGAAGGTCATGTGGTCTGATGAGACAAAAATAGAGCTTTTTGGTCTAAACTCCACTCGCCATGTTTGGAGGAAGAAGAAGGATGAGTACAACCCCAAGAACACCATCCCAACCGTAAAGCATTGAGGTGGAAACATCATTCTGTGGGGATGCTTTTCTGCAAAGGGGACAGGACGACTGCACTGTATTGAGGGGAGGATGGATGGGGCCATGTATCGCAAGATCTTGGCCAACAACCTCCTTCCCTCAGTAAGAGCATTGAAGATGGGTCGTGGCTGGGTCTTCCAGCATGACAACGACCCGAAACACACAGCCAGGGCAACTAAGGAGTGGCTCCATAAGAAGCATCTCAAGGTCCTGGAGTGGCCTAGCCAGTCTCCAGACCTGAACCCAATAGAAAATCTTTGGAGGGAGCTGAAAGTCCGTATTGCCCAGCGACAGCCCCGAAACCTGAAGGATCTGGAGAAGGTCTGTATGGAGGAGTGGGCCAAAATCCCTGCTGCAGTGTGTGCGCAAACCTGGTCAAGACCTACAGGAAACGTATGATCTCTGTAATTGCAAACAAAGGTTTCTGTACCAAATATTAAGTTCTGCTTTTCTGATGTATCAAATACTTATGTCATGCAATAAAATGCAAATTAATTACTTAAAAATCATACAATGTGATTTTCTGGATTTTTGTTTTAGATTCCGTCTCTCACAGTTGAGGTGTACGTACCTATGATAAAAATTACAGACCTCTACATGCTTTGTGAGTAGGAAAACCTGCAAAATCGGCAGTGTATCAAATACTTGTTCTCCCCACTGTATGTATATACTGTATTCTATTCTACTGTATTTTAGTCAATGCCACTCCGACATTGCTCGTCCTAATATTTATATATTTCTTAATTCCATTCTCTTAATTTTAGATTTGTGTGTATTGTTGTGAATTGTTAGATACTACTGCACTGTTGGAGCTAGGAAAACAAGCATTTCGCTACACCCGCAAGGCCATCAGACTAAATGTGTGTATGTGACCAATAACATTTGATTTGATTTGACACACACACTTGATGGCACTCATCACTCAAGCATATTTTGTCGATCCGCTGGACAGGGCTGATGAGAGCGGTTAATAAATAGCAGCATAGCATCTCCATCTGATTCACGCACACTGAGGGAGGGAGTCGGACCATTTGTTTTGAATAAAGAAGATCCATAGAGTATTTCTTGTACACACACACTCGCTCTCTCTCTCACTCTCTCTGTTCCCCAAACTCTGCCAGCCGCAAGAATCACCAAACAAACAGCAAGCACAATAAAGGGGGGCATAAATCTGGTGCTAGTAAAACAGTGTGTGTGAAGACAGACATCCATGGCGTCCAGCACTCATGCCTTTTTCTCTGCAGACATCCACAAACAAGGAGAAAGATGCTCACATTTTCCACTGTTATTATTACTGTATGTAGTGTCACAGCTGTGTCATTACTCTTGTAAGTAGTGTAAGAGAAAGAGAGGCTAAAAGTAATCCATGTGTTGGGGAGGAGGAAGAGGTGGAGGAGGGAGGGATGAGGGGGGCCCATCAATCTCTCAGCAGATTAGGAGGAGTTGTAAACCTCGCTCTGCAGTGACCCAGGCCCCCCTCACAGGGGGTTGGAGCTGGGGCTGTAGTAGTTGGGCTGTGTTGGGTTGTGCTTTGTGATCTGGGTTGGTAGGTTAGACTGTGCTGGGCTGTGCTGAACCGGCATGGCTGAGCAGGGCAGGGCTTGGGTGTTCTGAGATGTACTGGGTCGTGCTGGGGGCTGGAGGTGAGAAGGTAAGGAGCTGGGGATGAGGATCTGAGCTGGAGCTCCCAGCTAGGGAGGGGCCGTAGGGACGAGCTGACCATTTAGAACACCTCGCCAAGAGGGAGGGGGTGGGTGCTGACCCCGTACAGACCAACCCCTCCCTTGGCCTTGTCCACCCCTCCCCAAGGGCAATCCATCATACCAAACACACACATACAACCGTCTGCCAGACCTAAAACAATATGTGAAGATAAAACACCATTTTTAAGAGTGAGTAGAGGCATAATGTCAAGGGCTCTTTGGGAGCAAAATGATGTGCATCTCTTTATAATAAAGCCTGGCCCACTGCATTAAATTACACGCTATCAAACGGAACGAAGACTCAGGGCCCATAAAAGAGCTGCTTTGAAATGTCCCATGGCACCACATAGTCTGAGCTTCCTTAATCACACTCACACACACGCTCCGCTCAGACCCTCTGTCTGCCCACTGTCTCAGGGAGCGAGAGACACACACGTATGCATGAACGCACATACACACAAGCGCACTGATCCACTTTTCACCGTTTTTTTGTGTAACCAGTCACCTGTGGGGAGAGCATCTCTGTGTGAAAAACCCAAGTGGCACCCTATTCACAGCCTCTGGTCAAAACTAGTGCACTACATAAGGAATAGGGTGTCATTTAAGATGCCACTTGTATATTTTTACCCTGGCAATAGGAACTTATACAGTAAGATAATAAAGAAGAACCTGTGTAAAATAAACTAGCAGTCAGGTAGGCCTAGTGCATCATCACTGGAAGAGGTCTCCACAGAATCCCTTTCACATTACTTTCTCCCTGCCTCTCTTTGCTTTGGCACTTTATCGTCAAAGTGAGGGTATTCCGAGGTTAAAAAATTCAGGAGCCCGGCTTGTGTGTGTGAGAAAGAGAGCGAGAGAAAAAGAGAGAGCAAGTGTGTGTGTGTGTGATGCAGTGTATTCTAGAGGGAGCCAGGATTGTGTCCCCTCAGTGAAATTCAATGCCTTAATAACACTGCATCCATAACACATCCCAACTAACGTTTCCGTCTGTCAAAATAAATAACCAATAAAAGCTCCAACTCCCGTGTACCTAGAGACCATCTCTGTCTCCCCTAAATGTGAAACATTAAGCCATTCTTAGAAACGGTCTCTATAATAACACACAATAGTCCGTATATAGAAGTAAAAGCTGGAGATAAACATAGGCTGGTGAAAAGCAGGCCATCTCTATGCATTGTAATATAGGCTTGGCTCCCAAAGACACAGAGCCTTGGCCTGGGGATTGTATCGAGTGGCACAAGTCAGAGATTTGGCAGGAAGGGAGAGGGTAATGATATACACATGGCTTCATGCTGGAGCCTCAACACAGTAACCATAGACACATGCTGGGGCCTCCTGGGACTCATCAGCAGGACACAGCTGTGTACCCGCCAGCAGAATTCAATTAGCACTACTCAGCTAGGGGCACTACTCAGCTAGGGGCACTACTCAGCTAGGGGCACTACTCAGCTAGGGGCACTACTCAGCTAGGGGCACTACTCAGCTAGGGGCACTACTCAGCTAGGGGCACTACTCAGCTAGGGGCACTACTCAGCTAGGGGCATTACTCAGCTAGGGGCACTACTCAGCTAGGGGCACTACTCAGCTAGGGGCACTACTCAGCTAGGGGCAGCAGTACTGACTATACCTTTAGCAGTACTCAGCTACAGTGCATTCGGAAAGTATTAAGACCCCTTGACTTTTTGCACATTTTGTTACGTTACAGCCTTATTCTAAAATGGTTTAAATTAATTGTTTTCCTCATCAATGTACACACAATACCCCATAATGGCAAAGCGAAAATAGTATTTTTGAAATTTTTGCACATTTATTAAAATTAAAAACAGAAATACCTTATTTACATAGGTATTCAGACCCTTTGCTATGAGACCCAAAATTGAGCTCAGGTGCATCCTGTTATTTTCATTGATCATCCTTGAGATGTTTCTACAACTTGGAGTCCACCTGTGGTAAATTAAATTGATTGGACATGATTTGGAAAGGCACACACCTGTCTATATAAGTTCCCACAGTTTACAGTGCATGTCTGCGCAAAAACCAAGCCATGAGGTTGAAGGAATTGTCCGTAGAGCTCCGAGACAGGATTGTGTAGATGCACAGGACTGGGGAAGGGTACCAAAAAATGTCTGCAACATTGAAGGTACCCAAGGACACAGTGGCCTCAATCATTCTTAGATGGAAGAAGTTTGGAACCACCAAGACTCTTCCTAGAGCTGGCCGCCCGGCCAAACTGAGCAATCGGGGGAGAAGGGCCTTGGTCAGGGAGGTGACCAAGAACCCGATGGTCACTCTGACAGAGCGCCAGAGTTCCTCTGTGGAGATTGGAGAACATTCCGGAAGGACAACCATCTCTGCAGCTTCAACCAATAAGGCCTTTATGGTAGAGTGGCCAGACGGAAGCCACTCCTCAGTAAAAGGCACATGACAGCCCGCTTGGAGTTTGCCAAAAGGCACCTAATGTCACGTTCGTTTAAGGACGGGTCAGACCAAGGCGCAGCGTGAAATGCATACATGTTTATTTCAACGATAAACGCACGAACAAACCAACGTAACGTGAAGTCCTCAGGCTAAAACACAAAACAAGCCTACACACGGAACAAGATCCCACAACTAATGATTGCAAACAGGCTGCCTAAGTATGATCCCCAATCAGAGACAACGAGCGACAGCTGTCTCTGATTGGGAATCACACCCGGCCAAACATAGAAATACAACACCTAGAAAGTAAACATAGAAATAACAACATAGATCTCCACACCCTGACTCAACATACAAGAGTCCCATAAGTCAGGGTGTGACACCTAAAGACTCTCAGACCAAGAGAAACAAGATTCTCAGGTCTGATGAAACCAAGATTGAACTCATGGCCTGAATGCCAAGTGTCACAACTGTAGGAAACCGGGCACCATCCCTACGGTGAAGCATGGTGGTGGCAGCATCATGCTGTGGGGATGTTTTTCTGCGGCAGGGACTGGGAGACTAGTCAGGACGAGGGATAGATGAACGGAGCAAAGTAGAGAGAGATAATTGATGAAAACCTGCTCCAGAGCACTCAGGACCTCAGACTGGGGTGAAGGTTCACCTTCCAACAGTACAACAACCCTAAGCACACAGCCAAGACAATGCAGGAGTGGCTTTGGGACAAGTCTCTGAATATCCTTGAGTGGCCCAGCCAGAGCCCGGACTTGATCGAACATCTCTGGAGAGACCTGAAAATAACTGTGCAGCAACGCTCCCCATCCAACCTGACAGAGCTTGAGAGGATCTGCAGAGAAGAATGGGAGAATCTCCCCAAATACAGGTGTGCCAAGCTTGTAGCGTCATACCCAAGAAGACTCAAGGCTTCAACAAAGTACTGAGTAAAGGGACTGAATACTTACTTAAATGTAATATTTAATTTTTATACATTTGCAAACATTTCTATAAACCTGTTTTTGCTTTATCATTATGGGGTATTGTGTGTAGATTGATGATGGAAAACAACGATTTAATCCTTTTAGAAGAAGGCTGTAACGTAACGAAATGTGGAAAAGGTCAAGGTGTCTGAATACTTTCCGAATGCACTGTAGGGGCAGCATTACTGACTATACCTTTAGCAGCTCTCAGCTAGGGGCAGCATTACTGACTAGACTGGAGGACTGGAGGGGGGGGGGGGGGGGGGGGGAAGAGGTCAGAGGTGAGGTGGTGAAACATCTCCCATAAGTGCGGAGTGTGTGTATTATGTTTGTGTGTGAAAGACAGTGTGTGTGTAGTACTCCATCTATGTGTGTGAGCAAGAGAGAGGTTATTAATTATCCTGAGCAACGGCACTCGTGGCAGTTTCTAATTAGATCACCCATCTCAGGGTAGAGATGTGAGCCAACAGGCCGGGCAAGGTAACACTGAGGTGTGTGTGTGTGTGTGTGTGTGTGTGTGTGTGTGTGTAGAAAGCAGCTAATATGGAACTCGGTCCCAAACTGCCCCTGGTTTAGTACACACACTCTGTTTATATTGGGAAGCAGAGCAGGAGAGGACTTGTACTTGGACGAGCACTAACAACACTTTTATATTTACTGCTGTCAAAGGGTAAAATGTCTGGCTCTTACTTTTTTACCTAATACTTTTGTTTTCCTGCACACACAAACAGGCATCCACACTAATAAATATGGCTGTGACGTAATTGGATAACCATGTAATTGATGGCTATGGATGAAGACCATAATTAAAAAAATATATATAAACACGTTTAAATAGGCCTAGATTCGTTTTAGGATAAAACATTTTTATTAACCTTATTTTTATGTAGATTAACTTTGGTATTTGGTATTTATTACGATCCCCATTAGCCGCTGCAAAAGCATCAGGTACTCTTCCTAGGGTCCACATGAAACATGACATAATACAGAACATTTAAAACGTCACACATTGCCTACATATCAGTACATACACACAATATCTAGGTCTAATACATAACACAGTGAAAATTACAATACAAGATACATAAAATTGCTGTGTCTCTTCACAGTCCCCTTTGTGCAGTAAGGAGTTATTTTATCAGTTTTGTTTTAACTGGTTTTATTGCTAGCTTTGAGTTACCTCGGGTGGCAGAGAGTTCCATGTAGTCATGGCTCTATTTAATACTCTGCGTTTCCAAGCCTCTGTTCTGGACCTGGGGACTGTGAATAGACCTCTGGTTGCATGTCTTGTGTTGTACCGATGAGTGTCCAAACTGTGTGCCAACTGCTTGAACAAACAGTTCGGTACCTTCAACACATCAATACCTCGCACAAAGACCAATAGTGATACAGTCAATCTCTCCTCAGCTTTGAGCCAGGAGAGACTGACATGCATGTAACTGACACTTTCCCTCCGTGTACATCTAAGTGTAATACGTGCTGCTTTGTTCTGGACCAACTGCAATTCACCTATGTCCTTCTTTGCCGCACATGACCGCACAGCTGGGCAGTAGTCCAGGTGCGACAAAACTAGGGCCTGTGGGACCTGTCTGG